CCTGCCCCTCATGCTCTAACATACCACTGCTAGTCATACGCCATAACTGTGATCTTTTACCTGCCTCCTGTATTAACAAGTAGAATAACCTATTATTGCCCTAGTGCTAGACCAAAGTATATGCTTTTTAATTTAAATAAAAGCCCCTCTAGCATTATGAACAACATTACAAGTTCTACTTCTAGTTACAGAGCAACCAGTACACATCTATCAATTATAGTGTATCAAGGCTAATATTTTTAGCAATATCTATGATAGGACTGAAACTAAAGACCTTTCAATACCTAACTACATGTCCAACAACTCAAAACCATTGCTCTCAGTAATTGTTAGAGTCTTCTGACTGTATCAAATGTACCAGTATAGTATATTTACATCACTTACATAGAAAAAATATCTTTACATATCTATGACTTACTGTTCTACTGAATTATGCAAACTGCTAATGAATAATGTGAAAAAATTGTAAAACTAACACATTGCAATATGACATTATTCATTGTATTTAATGAATGATAGAGATAGCAGAGATGTATAAGTTACCTTTTTCCTGAATTTCACATAATTATGTTCACAGTCTAGAACAAGATCTGTACGCTTATTACTGTATCCATCACCACTGAAATTAATAATGATTTCAAAAATATTTAATGGCTCTTTGAAAGATTCATTATACAATGTATGCCACATTCACAATCAGATGTTACATGATTTATTGAAAACAAAACCACTATAATTTAAACTTTCTAAAACCATTTTGGTTCTGTTGTAAGGACCCTTTTTCTAAAGGTTTTTTAATGTACATTGTATCTAAATTTTGGGCAGTAGGTGGGGGAGGGGGGTTCCGGGATCTAAATGTATAATGTTCCACACTCATGAACATACTATAATGTAACATGTTACAGAAAGTGCTTTTAGATTCAAACATGCAAATGAACAATTTATTGACGGATTGGCCTATAATAAAGAACACCTTTTTTAAACCAGATAAGGCATACTAACTAACGGTATATGAAGCCTTCTGTTTGAATAAAAGATTTTAGTGTTTCAATGTTACTTACAGTACATTCAGTTTCAGTGTATAGAATAATTATGTATATAAAATATTACCTTGGTATTGTAGCTGTAGCACAGATATATAGATAGTTCTGGTAGGTGAGCTGCTCCCCTTCACCGAGAATATCCAGGTTATAGGTGGCTGTTGTACCATTAGCTACTGCCAACGTCATATACGGGTCAAGGGTAGGCTCATCCCAGGCATATGGCACTAAAATAAATATTTATTCTTTCCATTTTAAACTATGCTTATTGTTTATTGTTTGTTTATTTGGAATTTATGTCACATCGACACATAATAGGTCATATGGCGATGTTCCAGCTTTCGATGCTTCCAGGTGCCCATCCGTACATTATTTCAGACAAGAACGGGCACCTGAGTAGAACCACCCACATTCCGTAAGCTAGCTGGATAGCTTCCTCACATGAAAGAATCCAAAGTCCCCGTCAGGATTCGAACCCACAACGGTGAGGGGCAAGTGGTTTGAAGTAAATGACCTTAACCTCTCGATCACAGATGCCCCCAACTATGCTAATCAAAATATTTTAAGACCATAACTTCTTTGATCTAAGACTGTCTGTTTTGACCTATGCTATTAAACTACAATTTTTAACATTTATGTCTTCTGAAATATAGTTGACATAAACACCAGAATACATAATAAAATACCTCAGAAAAAAAGAATATTTTGGGTGTTCCTGCATAATCTGGAGTACAAACTTTTTGGGTTTTTCTCAACTAATCTGGTTTTATAGTAACATCATGGTACATATGAGGAAAATAAACGCATCATGTTGATCACACTACATGTATTTGTTAATAGTTGTAACATAAAGCTATAGCAAGTAACCCACCATTAGATGGTGAAAACCAACATTTGCAGAGTTCAGGAAACATTAAGGTAGACACATAGACATATGTTGTTCTTGTGTAGGCATATCAATGACTAACATTAAAATACCTTAAAGGTGACTCTTCACTTTGCTCATTTGTGTGTGTTTACATTTACAACTGTAATACTGATCAACTACAGATTTCAGAATTCTAGAAATGCAATGATGACGGTCATAATATATAAATAAAAACGCTGGCATGGCTCTATACTGCAGGTTTATAACTTAGGTCACTTACTAAAATAGTAAACAGTAAACAAAGCAGTATCTACTTACAACTTGTCTGTGGTCTAATAAATGTTCTTAGTCTCTCTTCTGTTGTCTTCGTTTGGAAATATAGCAATGGTACCTTTAATATAAAATTGTGAAAAGTTTAACAAATGTACTTGGTATAGAGAAAACATTTAAAGAAGATATAAAATTAACAGTAAGATCCCAGCTTACAACTTTCAAAAGAACAGTCACACACATTCCAGTATCATTTTGATTAATTCCAGTCATTTGTTTCTGTCATTTTGTCTTCTGTTTTGACAGTCTACAGAAGGAAGGACTGTGGACGGACCAACAAGGGCAAATGAAAATACCCCATCCTCTAAATGAGGACATAAAAGGTGAAACAGGTGGAGAGAAAGATGAGCTGTCTGTCAAAACATAGTGACTATATGCAGTCATCGAATTTAGCACTGGCCCGGTGGCCCATGGCCAGCGAAAATTAGTTCAGGCCAGTGAAAATTTTAAGAAAATTTAGTTAAGTATACATGTATAGTAAAATAAATTCAAAACTGGAATTCGGGCTAGTAAATTCAAAATCTTAAATTCATTGACTGTACATGTATATGCAATGAAAGAATGATAAAATTGACAACAAGAAGTAAATAGAATGAAATGTCTGACCAACCTCTGACATGTTATCAATCCTGAAAGGTGGGGGTGTTTCTTCCGCATCAGAAAATATTATACTGAATGTCTGACCTTGTAGCAGAACTTCTACCTTCAGTAAAATAGAATTCTTGCGACCATCTCTGTAAAATTATATAGACCATATTTACAATTATTTTCAAGGTTTTATTCAAAACAAAATAACATCAACCGGTAACAGCCACAACAAAACTTACAATACAAACAACAGCCAACTGTTTTTACCTAATTTTTCCTTCCATCTGAATTTGTATAATGAATTAGCATGTTTTCAATTTAATATAGTCAAACTTGTGTGTGTATAGAAGATTTTGTTGTAAAAATACTAAATTGTCTACAGCAGTCTGGTCAGATTCCACAGACACACAGGCTAGCAAAGTGTCTTTGCTGTTCCCATAGACTAATCAATTTACCAAACAACTTGAATTTACAGGTGTCAGCATGTGATCGAGGGGCACCTTAGGTCTTTCTGTACTAGAAAAGCAGGAAAGAAGCAGTATGATCATAACATAAAACACAACCAACTTGAATTAAATCAGTGACTTCTTGGCAGTTAGGTAGACACTTAATTCACCTAGTCATTGGTTTAACATTAGTCGCCTTATAATCATTCTTAAGAACACCACTGAAAAAAGATTGTATCAATATTATGTAAACCTACAAACATTAGTTGTTTTTTATTGTTGTTTTTCTTTACAATAAAAAAATTTCACAGCTATGAAAGATACTTTACCTCATGTTTATATGAAAGGAGTTTACTGAATCAATTCTGAAACCACCTGACCAATTACTCTCCTCAATGTCCAATAACTTCACACATAACAACTGATCTAAATCCTGCCGCGGCCAATGAAATGGCATCTTACAATTGGGCAATGCTGTTAAGTGACCATCTGGATTGTGTATAGCCTATAAGATATTTTAAAAAAATAAATATTTCTTATATAAATTTCTCATATATTACAAATGTATGAGATTTTCAGATCTATAACCATGCAACTTGAAAAACAGAGAAGTACTACATTTTATCATTAAATTCTTAAAAAATCATTAAAATTCTGTCAGTCAGCAGTGCAACCTCAATTATTTTTTCACAAAATATGTATGCACAATATGAACAACTGTAATTTATACTTTCCACCATTTCCATAAATGCAGAAAATACTAAAGAAAGCACTTTTATAACTAAAAACCTACAACACCCTTATGCTTTAAACTTAATCCAGGCTACTAAAGTTTCTTTTAACCTTTACAAAATGTGCTTGCTCTGATTATGGAATTGTCCATAATTAATTTCAGGTGTTACAACTTTCATTAGACATGTGAAAGTATTAAATGTAGTTAGACCGCAGATTTGTCCTTTTAGGTCTAACTCTATAATGGTGGCAAAGGCAAACAATCATTGCTGTAATCATTTATAGTAAATACTTTATAAATACATAAAATGGATGGAATATGTTTCCTAAATTGCAACTGAAATACTTTAATTGAATAAAACATTAATGATAATAAATTAAGTTTCATGCAAATTTATTTGCATCTGTTTTTTTTTTATTTGCATGCAATTACAGTGCCTTGTTCAAAAGACCAGAGGTAACATTTCAACTTCTTGAATTCTTGGGTTTATCTTCATGAATTCACAACTTCAACTTCATGAATTCACAACTTCATGAATTCATGATTTCAGCATACAGAATTCATAGAAATCATGGCTTTATGAAGTTGAAATCACAGATTTACAAAGCTGAAATAGACAAGTAAAGTTCAAAATGTGAATTCGTGAAGTTAAAATCGTGAATACATAAAGTTGAAATAATGAATACCTGGATTTGAGATTGGAAATTCATGAAGGTAAATTCACAAAAATGAAATCGTGAATTCATGTATTTGAAATGTCCCCACAGTCCTTTTAAGTATAAAGCCAAAATTACAAGTAACATACCTCTTTATTAGTGAAATGTCTCTGTGCGACAGCTAGTTTATGTTCAGACATGTTATCTACATGATACCTGGGAGATAACGTTACAATACTTGTGTGCCGGAACTGACCTTTACCTGGCTTTGTCTCAATACCAATGTTATACACCCTGTTACAAAAAAATCAATCTGATGAGAAAATTTCATTATTACACATACATATGTACGTTGATAATATAGCATTAAAAACAAATTCTTCAGTGTCAATATGTAATTTATTTGTTTGGTCAAATGAATAATTTAACGTGAGCAGAATATCAATTTTAAATCATTGATAATCTTTTACAAATATTACAATAAATCTTAATCATTAACAATCTGTGCAAATAAAAATGATATTCTATAGCTTGTTACATGAAATATCGATAGATTTTACAAAAACATCATTAAATTTACAAAGCATTTTATCAGATTGAATATATAAATGATTTGCATGAAAGACTGAAGTATTCTAATCAATATGCAAAGTTGCAAAAACAAAGAATAAATATTTTGATTCATGCAAGCCAACACCATGTTCTAAAGGAAAATGTATTTTCTCTAACTCAGTAAAATAATAATAAGCTGCCCAGCACTTGTAAATTTAAAGACCCAAAATAAGGTGAAACAAGAGGGCCATGATGGCCCTGAGGTCGCTCACCTGTATATAGGCCCCCCAACCCCCCCCAACGTTGCAGAGCCAATTTAACCCAAGAGCTTTTATTTGCACAAACTTGGTAGACACCCATAAGAAGATGTTTCATGCTAAACATTTAAGCTCTAGCTCATTGGGCTTTTTAAAAGAAGATTTTTTTAAAGTTTTTACTATACACATATAGTTAAAAACAATGACACCCCTGGGGCAGGGCCAGTTTTGACCCCAGGGCTTTTATTTGAACAAACTTTGTAGACACTTACTAGAAGATGTTTCATGCTTAATATCTAAACTCTAGCTATTTGGGTTTTTTCAAAGAAGATTTAAAGTTTTTGCTAAACACATATAAAGAAAATCAATGACCCCCGGGGCGGGGCCAATTTTGACCCCTGGGCTTGTATTTGAACAAACTTGGTAGACACCTATTAGAACATGTTTGATGCTCAATATCTTAGCCATAGCTCTTTGAGTTCTTTAAAAGAAGATTTTTTTAAGTTTTTACTATATGCATATAGGGAAAATCAATGACCCCCGGGGCGGGGCCAATTTTCACCCCAGGGCTTTTATTTGAACAAACTTGGTAGACACCCATTAGAACATGTTTCATGCTAAATATCTTAGCTCTAGCTCTTTGGGTTCTTTAAAAGAAGATTTTTTAAGTTTTTACTATATGCATATAGGGAAAATCAATGACCCCCCCGGGGCGAGGCCAATTTTGACCCCAGGGCTTTTATTTGAACAAACTTGGTAGACACACACTAGAAGATGTTTCATGCCAAATATCTAAGCTCTAGCTCTTTGAGTTCTTTAAAAGAAGATTTTTAAGTTTTTACTATATGCATATAGGGAAAATCAATGACCCCCGGGGCGGGGCCAATTTTCACCCTAGGGCTTTTATTTGAACAAACTTGGAAGACACCCATTAGAACATGTTTCATGCTAAATATCTTAGCTCTAGCTCTTTGGGTTCTTTAAAAGAAGATTTTTTAAGTTTTTACTATATGCATATAGGGAAAATCAATGACCCCCCGGGCGGGGCCAATTTTGACCCCAGGGCTTTTATTTGAACAAACTTGGTAGACACTCACTAGAAGATGTTTCATGCCAAATATCTAAGCCATAGCTCTTTGAGTTCTTTAAAAGAAGATTTTTTAAGTTTTTACTATATGCATATAGGGAAAATCAATGACCCCCGGGGCGGGGCCAATTTTCACCCCAGGGCTTTTATTTGAACAAACTTGGTAGACACCCATTAGAACATGTTTCATGCTAAATATCTTAGCTCTAGCTCTTTGGGTTCTTTAAAAGAAGATTTTTTTAAGTTTTTACTATATGCATATAGGGAAAATCAATGACCCCCCGGGGCGGGGCCAATTTTGACCCCAGGGCTTTTATTTGAACAAACTTGGTAGACACTCACTAGAAGATGTTTCATGCTAAATATCTAAGCTCTAGCTCTTATGGTTTTTTTTAAAAGAAGATATTTAAAGTTTTTTCTTTCGGTTGCCATGGCAACCAGAGTTTTGCATGGAATTAAATTCTTTGAACAATTTTTAAAGGTGACCACCAAAGGAACATTCCTGTGAAGTTTGGATGAAATTGGCTTAGTGGTTTATGAGGAGATGTCATTTAAAGTAAAAGTTTACGGACGGACGGACGGACGGACGACGGACGGACGACGGACGGACGGACGCCGGACGAAAAGCGATCACAAAAGCTCACCCTGTCACTTTGTGACAGGTGAGCTAAAAATAGATGGAGTAAGAGAGTTATGCCTATAAAATTGAATTCAATGTACTCTTTTCTCTTTAAATTGAAAATAACTCAAACATACTTTACTTCACCAGCTATAGACTTTATGTTAAAGTCTTATCTAGCTTTGGATTCAAAACTAAAATGTACATGTATCATTTTGTTGAATTTTTCACATGAACCATTTGCACCAATTTGAAATTGGAAATATCCATGAAAATTAAGATACATGCACAAATAGTATCTAGCTTTGTCAAACTGCATTATACTGGTGGCAAAGACAGTTTATGAATATTATGATTGTGTTACAGGGAATTAAGTACAAACAAAAAATAATAAAAGTAAGTAGGTAATAGTGTGGAGTTTGGACTAACTGCACAAAAATACTGGCTGGCTGTTTTATGTGCTGGTAGTACAGACAAGTTATCATCAAAGATACAGTAGCACTGTAAGAGTTGAAATGAAACATGAACATTTCTGTACAATGGATTTAATAAACTTTTAGCCTGCTGTAATGTAAAGTGAATAGCCTTTGCCACCAGTACAACACCATACCAGCCTGTACATCTGTGCAGTTTTACCAGACTCTATACTACTGGTAGCTGAATTTCATTAAGACATAAATAGTTATGCATATCTTACTCCTTATCTTCCCTTTATATACAGCAATGACTGCACAATTAGAGTCATAAATACTGCAATACTTACAAGGGAAATTGACAACAGACATCTTTATTTATAAAGACAACCACAGACATTTAACAAACAAAACTCACTTTGTACACTTGAAATATTTAAAGGGATTTTTTAATACTGTACTACAGTCATGTACCAACTTCACAATACAGTTGACTGACAATTTTCCTGCACCACATGTACAACAAATCAAATACTGATGGTAGAAAATTGATCAAAAAATAAAATATAAAGAATATTATTCTTCCAATAATTCCCATAAGCAAGCATTATATAAGGGTAAAATATGAAATAGGAGAAAGGCAATATAAAAGTCAAACAAAATATATTACTTAAAGTAAAAATGAAATAAAATTAAAGTAAATTTTAAATATAAAATAAAATATTTGAAATGTTAGTATTAGATTTTAATTAAAGTTGTTTGAAAACCGAGTCTCCATGACTTGAACAGCATTGTTCCCTTCACCCAAGCACATACTGTATTCAACACCATCCAAAATGTAACATTTAGGGGTGTCATGCCTAGGTTACCATGGTGATGACTTACTGAACACATTTAGATGGTAAAGAAAACCGTTTCCGGGCCTTGAACCGAGCAGATACTAACCAGTCAGGGCGGTTCCCATCTTTAGGCGTCACGTGTAGTTGGCAAACATTAGCTTCCTTGTCTAGTGAAAAACTGTTACTCCTTAAAAAAATGTGAATATGTTTGAAACAATTGTGTCCCTTTATGAACTACATTTAGCAACATAAAAAGTACTTGCTGATGTTAGACAAGAGGGCCATGATGGCCCTGAGTCGCTTACCAGAAACAACTGCTTTTCAGTAATGGAATTTATCCAATGTCAATATTTTTAATAGTAAATTTGAGCATAGAATATCTTTAAACAATAATTTGAAGCAATGCCATGAATTGGGGCATTTAAGCTTTAGCTTAAATGGGGCCAATCAAATTAATATGAGCACATTTGATAAAAGACTACCTAAGATTAGTAAGAATGCTACAGACAAAGTTTGGTGATCATCCATCAATTATTTCAGGAGATGATGTTCAAAGGTTTTTCTATTTTTAGTTTAAATGACCCCTAAAAGGGGCCAATCAAATTAATATGAGCAAACTTGATAAAAGACTTTCTAAGAATATTACAAACAAAATTTGGTGATCATCCATCAATCAGTTCTGTAGAAGTAGACATTTAAAGGCATTACTATTTTTAGCTTTAGCAGCCCTTAAAAGGGGCCAATCAAATTAATATGAGCACACTTGATAAAAGACTACCTAAGAATGCTACAGACAAAGTTTGGTGATCATCCATCAATAAGTTCTGTAGAAGCAGAAGTTTAAAGGTATTTCTATTTTTAGCTTTAGCGGCCCCTAAAAGGGGCCAATCAAATTAATATGAGCAAGCTTGATAAAAGACTTCCTAAGAATGCTACAGACAAAATTTTTTTTGGTGATCATCCATTAATTAGTTCTGTAGTAGAAGATGTTTAAAGGTTTTTCTATTTTTAGTTCTGTTAACCCGCGGCCAATTGAAATGACTTGAGCAAATTTAAGTGTGACTGTCACAAGGATGCTACAGACCAAATTTGAAGTAAATCTGCCCAGCAGTTTCATAAAAGAAGACGATTGTTGACGCATGAGGACGGACGACGGACTGACAGACGACAGAGCACCCCCCTTTGATACTACTAGCTCACCCTGAACCTTTGGTTCTGGTGAGCTAAAAACTTCTATAATCAAATTATATTGTGCTTAAATAGCACTCTGTTCCATAACTCTGTCTAGTCAATTTTCAATTCTTCAGAATGCTAAAATTATTTTCTATTAAGTCTCTTTGAGTAAATAGTTCTAAAGTAAACACACATAATATTAAACATAAATTGGTGATTTTTACACAAGTCACCCATAATTTTGTTAAGTCAACCATAATCTTGATAAAAATATATTCAACCTTATAAATAACACTCACTACTCTATAAATTTCTTCAGGATACTTTGTCTGTCTTTTAATCTGGACAAAACCATTCATCATTTTCAGGGAAAATTTCAAAATAAGTGCAAGTACTGACTCAAAAGTGAACAGTGCAGACCAGAAGGCACTGATAGGCCAGCAGGCCTCAAGGTTATAAAACTTTTTTTCTATGATCTGCCATGACTCTGACATTCTATGCCTGTTTCTGACCAAACAAATACATGAGATATGAGCAGAGACATAGATAATGTCTCTGATATGAGTTAGAACTTAAAAAAATTCTTTATAATGGCATCAACCCTGAACTTGGTCTACACTGATTGTAAAGAAACATCTAGTTGCCACCAGCAGAGTTATGATTAAATCACTTTATAATGTTCTCCTTGATTTTTTTTTTTTGCCCTCATTTTTCAACAAAATTACCTGTACTTGATTCAATGAGTTTAGAAATGTAACAAATATTTGCCAATCTAATCTAAATATGAAATTTGACTTCCCAATGCCTTACCATATAGGTATTGTGTTGGGTCCATGCTTGTGTTTTCCCACTCTCATTTCACACCTACAATGTAATGGATAGAAGTGTAAGACTTGTGAAAATAAATCAATCCAGATCAAATACTATTCACATATGTAACAACTGTTTAATTCATGAGGCTACATTAAATTTAACCCCAAAAAGAGTTGGTTTCATAGGGAGAGCATTAGGTATGTTATCCACAAGACTCAGGTTTTTATCACGGGCAAGGCAAAACTTCTCTATGACAACTGATCTCAGAGTATTATGATCATTTGTGTCTCACCATTGATTGTAAAACGATGTGTGATAAGCAGATGGTCACTTGCAGAGAAATTGACTGAATCACTGCTTAGTTATCCAGAAAAGCTAGTTAGGTGGAAGAACAACCAAGATATGAAGGTATGTGTTAAAATCGGCATTAAAAAAAAAGACAAACAAATTTTTACAATAAGCATTTTTTTAACATTATGAATACATACCTAAACCTTGATATGCTGAATGTAATGTTGATAGAGAAATGATTATGAATCAGAGTGATTTGATCCAAATTTTGATGTATTTAAACTCATGGTCATTATTTTCTTCTTATCAATTACAAAGCTTCTGTTATATATTTAATTTACTAACTGTTTCATTTCTTCAATAATACATTTTTTACTATTTCATTTACAGTCACCATTTATAAAATCCCATCAGCAAAACCATGGAGATCTGTACTTCCTGTATAAGTCCGCTATCTATTACTTTAACGATAAGTTAGAAAATCTTATCTTTAAGTATTGTTTTTTGAGATAGCCCTTCATGTATTGTACATGTATTAGACTCAAAATGACATAGAATGGATAAGGTAGTACCACGTTAATATTAGAACTCAATTATTATCATAATTACTACAATAGAAGGAAATGAAAAAAATACAAAAAATAAAACCTAGATTTAACACTTTACCTGCTGAATTTGTGTAATACAATTGCCCTGCTTTAAATGTTAAAGGTATATCAATATCAAAATTCAAAACTGAGTTATAAACAACATTGAGCACTGTCACAAATTACTCACAAATAGGGGTTTTCCTTGTCGGTAAAACTGAACAAGAAAGGGGAGACAATCCTGGCCATTTCATTCTCCTCAAACTGTCCGGCAGCTTCCTCTGTTGACCCATCCTGGCGAAATACCAGTGGTAAACCTGATTTGTTTACTATCCAGTATGGAGCACTGATTACCAACTGAAAGAAGAAAGAAAAACATTAACCATTAGAACTATAACAATTAAAATTCATTTCATAAGTTTACAATGCAAATGATTAAATATGATATGTTTAAAAGGCAGAATAAACTTATGAGGAATAGACAGTATAAGGAGTTTTAAATACTTGGTTTTTATCTATAGAAATATACAATATTGTATAGTAATCTATTGAAAAACTCTGAAATCAGGCTTTGATCAAGACCATGCAGGCTATGAAAATGTAATAGTTAGGTTCACAAACAGTCAGACGGAATTTTTCAATTTAAACCAAAATGATGCTCTTGTCAGACAAGTTTTGTATAATTATATCATCTTTGTCTTTTGGTCTTTGCTACGCTGACATTCTTTTTTCATTCTAAACTCTTTATTATCTTAATAAATGATAACATATACACTATTTATTCTACATATTTAAGAATGAATTCTGTTAGCTTCAAAACCAAAACCTATCACCCAATAAATGTATTATACCGTCTGATTACAGATTAGTTAAAAAAAAAAAAAAAAAAAACAACAAACAAACAAAAACTTCCATTCATACCTTCAAAGAACCACCAAGTTTACACAATATCCTCACATAAAGTTCCAGCAATCTTCTCTCAGAGTCATACAATCGCAATTTAACCTTGTAACTTCGCGTACCAGATGGTATAACCAGTTCTCGGCATACCTGGAAATTCTCCAAACTTATACCCAGCTCCAGTTGGCTACTTAAATCAGCCTGAAAGAAAAAATAAAACAATGTCATACTTAAATCAGCCTGAAAGAAATGATAAAACAATGTCATACATGAATGTCAATGGTCATAATATCATTGTGCATTGATAGTCTTGTAAAGTTCATATTAACAACAGATTTAATGATAACTTGACTTGTATTTATAACCTCGAGTACAACTCATCAAGAACGAGAACCAAGAATTTAGCTTACGGTCAAGGTCATATGAAAGTTTTTAAAGTAACATTTCATAAAAGTACACTGATTTTGGTGGTGTCTCTGGTCATCAATTCAGTCATTAATGTGCACAACACATCTTCATTATATTCAATTACACTTTTACACATTGTCATATTAAAATCCATCCAGGAATGAAATAATTGTTGATTGGTCAAGAACATCATTGCACTGTTATAAAATATAAATATGTCCATAGGACACGGGTGCTCTCACAAACTCCACTGTTTTGTCAATCTACTGGCTCAAGGTCAAATTATTTTCAAGGGGCTTAAAAATCCACATGTAAAACCCAAGGTGCATAGCTTCACAAAAACACAAGGTGCATAGCTTCACAAAAACCCAAGATGCATAGCTTCACATGTTGATCAACATCCCTGTAAAGTTTGTCAATTCTATCTCAAGCACTTTTAGAGGTACATGTACAAATAACACAAGTTTTTGGAAAGGTTTATAGTAAGTCAAGGGCAACTACTTTTCAAATCCTGAATAGATATACAAGCATAACACCCAGGTGCACAAATGCACATGCTGATAAACATTTTTATCACATAAACCGCGGCGCAGGAGTGTAATAAAGCCATTTAATAAAACCGATATTACACTAGTGTAATAACACTTTGACGTGACTTCATTTGCGCTATATATAAACTTAGCGTTAAAGCGCGCTAATGTTAGCGCTTCATTGAAAAATTACTCATTTTTTCCAGATTACTGTTCTTATTTTATAAATGCGATAAATAGAATATTATTACATTTGTGTAGATTTAATACTAAATTTATTGAACTCGTTGAATAAAACAATATTATGCTCGCCATAGGCTCGCATTATATGATTTTTTTTCAACTCGTTCAATAAATTTAGTATTAAACTACACTCATTCAATATCCTCTATCTATTAAGTTTCATGACACTATCAAATATTTTTTGGGATAGGTACAACACAAGCTGAGGATAAGTTAAGGGCATCAAACCCCAAGTACAAAACTACACATCATCAGCCGACCAACACTTCTGTAAAGATTCATGACTCTAGGTCAAATACTTTTTGGGCTACATGCGAGACAAGTTGAAAATGGCAAAGTTTAGTTAAGTCAAGGGCAATAACTCTACAAATAATGAATAAATCCACAAGCAAACACCCAGGTTCTCAACTTTACATACTGAGCAACATTTCTGCAAAGTTTGACTCCATGTCAAACACTTTTTGGACTATGTGCGACACAAATTGAAAATTGCCAATTTTTACTAAGTCAAGGGCAATAACTCTGACAAAACTGATTTAATCATAAAAGAAACCACAGGTGCACAACTTCACATGCTGATCAACATTCCTGTAAATTGTGTTGTCTCTAGCTCAAGGACCATTAGAGCTATCATGTGATACATTATGAGAATGAACAGAAGGACAAGGGCAAATCTAAATCCCCCTACCCCTAAAGTTGGGGCACAAAAAGTGTGACCTATACCTTTGTGCTTACAAAACTAAGTCATGGCATGACACTTTTTTGTATGTATAACATATTTATCAAAATTAACTTCAAAGTCCATCCATTTATGACAAAGTTATGGATTGGAGACAAAGTGTGGTTGTCAGACTGAGGAGAAGACAAACTAATGCTAGTCTACATACAAGACATGCCCACGGGCAGAATCATCACTCAGCCTCACTTGGTGGTCTAGCCTGCTCGTCTTTATTCAAACCTGAATCTATAAACTTCAGATCTAAGGGAAAGATGTATACATAGGTGAGATGTGTGCAACACATCCTTTTTGTACCCAAGGCAAAATATTAACATTGCATCATCTTAGGTGACCTTGACCTCTGACCCAGTGACCTAGTTCATGCACATGATATGAAGTCTCATGAATTGTGACCTTGACCTTCATTTTGCGCAACACATCTTAACTCACCAAGGAGAACATTTATTCTAAGTTATATTAAAATCAATCCATGTATATAGAAGTTATACTCACAAATGAATGTTTTAATTTGAAATTTGACCTTTTGATCATGAAGTAAGACCTTGATCTTTGCCATAGACACCTTTATTTTTTTGCACGACACCCCGTCTCACTATGGAGAACATTTGTCCAAAGTTATATTAAAATCCCACCACTCATGTAGAAGTTACACTCCGGACACAGGTTTTGTGCTGACCTCCAAAAGCGACCTTGACTTTTGAGTGGCAGACATTGGTTTTTTCATGTGACACTCTACCTCATCTTGGTGAACATTTCTCTTACATTTTTTTGTTATTCTTCAAAGAATGAGTGAGATATATACCAGACAAAATTTAAATATTTTTATTTGACCTTTGACCTCTTATGACCTTGACCTTCATTTTGCATGAACATCTTAACTCAACATGGAAAATATTTGTGCTAAGTTATATTAAAATCCATCCATGTATCTAGAAGTTATACTAGCAAATGAATGTTTTTTTTTGTTATTTGACCTTTGACCCCTAAGTGTGACCTTGACTTTGCCACAGATACCTGAATTTTAGACACCCCCCCCCCCCCCACTCCATGGAGAATATTTGTCTCAAGTTAAATTAAAATCCCACCATGCATATAGAAGTCATGCTCCAGAAATGGGTTTGGCACTGACCCCAAGTGTGACCTTGACCTTTGAGCAGCAGACCTGGGTTTTGTGTGTGACATATTGTCCCATCATGTGGTGAACAATTGTAACAAATTATTTTGAAAACCATCAAAGAATGAGCAAGATATAGACCAGGCAAATCCAGAAGATAACACTGATGATACAGCAAACTTTATAACAGAAGTGGCAACTTAGTGAAACTCACTGCAAGCGGGCTTGACAAATACTACATTTATCCCCAATTGTTGGAACATAAAAATCTATTGACAGTAGTTAGTCACATTCTTTTCTAATGTTTATATGACATGTAATATTCATCAGTTGGTAAGGTTACAAAATGCTTTGAATTTTTATACAAATGTTTCATGTTACTACTTTAAAATATTACTTAACCTCAATGATAAATACCACAGTAACTTGATATTTAATAAATACATCACAAAATATACTAATGATACAGTCCTTATCAGAGGTTTTAAAGGGCTTTATCATTAATATACATATATTTTGTGATGTATTGATTAAATATCAATGAGAACATTATATTGATACATAAAGAATCACATGAATCATCCTGAGAAAATAATCAAAATGTTTTTGTTTTTTCCATTCTTAATTTTGTGACCTTAATTCACCTTTGATTTTGCCATAATACTTAATCAAAAAAAGTTATAAATAAATCTTGGAATTCAGAAAATTATATCTATTTATATACAGATTCTGGAATTTTGTTCTATTTATATCAAAATGACATATACATTATTTATAGACATAGATTCTTTCGGAGAGACCTTGTGATTGGCGTAGAGGAACATTTTGAAAGGTAAGCAGTTTATTTCATGAGTAACAGGTCAAATTTCAGCATTTATCAATGTAAATTATCTGATACCATTTATTCAGTATTGTTTGCTTGATTTAAAGACCAAATAAAGCGTTCTTTTTATCAAAAAAAGGGCCATTTATTACTGTGAAGCTAAATGATTGAAAGCTTAACCATTTACAGAGCATAAATTTAAGTTTTCTGTTGAATGTAAATAAATTTATGTCAGTCATTGTTTGTAAATATTAATATTAACTTGAATTTTAATGTACTACAGTTCTGCTTTAATATCATTTTCATTAAGTTTCACACTTGACAAGAAATTCAATGTTGCTCCTGTATGTCATACTATGAAAGCACCAACAAAATTATCTAATTTTTATTTGGATATGTGTTAAATCTAATATTTATAATCGATAGATATGTCATCCAACCACCCACTTCTATTGGTTCACTGTTCACAGGTATTATTAGCCAATTATTGCTTTTACTCACTGTAGAGAAGAAGCATGGTAATGCATCATGGAGAGTAGTCTTACTATGCTTTGTGATGAAATATTGCTATTTTGTGTATGGGCAAGATCTCTGAAGCGTCAGTTTCTAACCCAGATATTTCAGATACATTTCGGGGGTTGAATGCAAACCTGTTGTAAGTCCATCTTTATATTATATAAGTTACTGCAGTTTTGTGGCCAACCTCAATTTGTATCTTGACACTGTACATAAATTGTTGCTACTTCTGTAAAACCTCTTGACACTAGCTTATTTGAATGTTTTTATTTGTTTGGGTCATCAGACCAAACAAATAATGGTAGCAAAATTTCAGACCCTGATACGCTTATTTGCAAAAAACGAAAGTAGTTCAAACTCCTCAAAGCGGTTACTTCCCTTTATAAGTACAATAACAATAATGCCGAAAAATTAAGGGGAGATCAATGCGTAAAGATTGTCAAACCACAGGAGCATTAATTTTCAAGCCTTCAATGGGAAAGAAAAAATAGTTTCCGACTGGTTGAAGATTTCTAATATTGTGTAATTCTTTACATATATACATGCTTTAATTAAGCTCCATGATTATTTACATCAGTGCTAAACAACAGGTTTACCTGTGAACAAAATATCTCGAAATTAATAAGAATAATTTGATTTTCTTCAGGCTGTTATCTTATAATTTCCGCATGGTTGAGGGGTTACACGCTGGCTTAGGAAGGGAGAGGTCTGGAGTTCAAATCCCCGTTTAGGCCTTTTTTTATTTTGTCTAGGACATCACCAAATAATTTGGATAGCATATAGTCTAAACATCAACATTTTAAACAATATAAATGTTTTATATAGTTTAAAAATTAAAGAAATAGTTTGAAAATGGAAATTTAAGTTTCATAAAGTTTGAAGATTTTTTTTTTTTGCGAAAAATAATTAGTTCATAAAATTTTTGATTAATAGGGGCATTTAAAAAAGATAGAAATGCAAAAGATAATAAAGTAATACTTTAAAATAAATTAAAAATAGCATTTTTGTGATAATGTTAGCCTGATTTGAGCAAGATTTCAGTGTTGCAATGTAAGGCTTATCAATTTTGCAACATTTTTTAATTATTATTCTGGAAAAAAAATGGAGTGAAAGATCTATAATTTTGCATGCAAGATATTAGTCTAGACCTTATAAATTATCAAATGCAACATTTATCTCCAAAAAATAAACTATTTCCAGTCCCATCATGTCAAAGAAACTCAGTGGAGTCCCTTTAAGTTTTAAGTGATTAAGTTTTTCCCGAAATTTCATGTCAGTATTTCATCATAATTATAAGGCTAAGATTTTTAACTTAGAGGAAAATTAGTACATGGCTAGTAGTTTAAATCTAAAAGTTTTTGTTTTGTGTATTTAAAATTGATTTTGAGGCTATTAAAAGTAAAGAATGTATTAAAATGTGTCGTATGCTGTACACTTGTATTCTAAAAACATATGTATCAATAAAATTCATAACATGGAACTGTGGTTCTTATAGACTCAGTAGAAAATTATTTTGTAAAGATTTCTAACAAAATTTAATGAAGAAAAGTCTCTTTAAATTAAAAGAACTAAATTAAATATTGATTAATTTCACATAATAATTATGTAAAGTTAGTTGAGTCCTGAAAAATCCTTATAATACATATGTATATCATTCATATTCTTCATATTACATGTACATGATTGTATTGATTGAAGGTATTAATGTACATGTAGATAGTAAAATACTTGGAATACCAATACAACTATTTATAACTATCTAATTAGTATAATTTGTCTTTAACTGGTTTCCTATGAATAAGATTCCTATAAATAAACTTAACTATTGTTTGGGATACTGACAAGCTCTATTCTTAGCATTTATTATAAACAGTAGCAAAATAAGTGGGTTTCCATTATTATATCCATTTGTTTTATTTCAATTTATAAAGGGCATTAACAATATTATTCCTACTCATTAAAACCATCTAGTAAAAAGTCTTTGATATAAATATATAAAAATATATTCTATAATGCTTTTCACATACTGAATGTATTTTTTACATTTTCTATACTGGAAATGCCTGAAAATGCCTGATTTAGTTTTCTTTTTGTTCAGTGGTTGTCAATCAGTCAGCTGCCTCTTTATCAACAATAAATGCATGTTTCTTCTATAAGTAATTAAATTTATTTCAACTTACGTAACTGGTAATACTTTTATAATGTCTATTTCAAGCATGTTGATGTCAAAATTTGGATGTCAAAAGTGCAATACCTGACTTTTTAGACTAGTTAGCTACAATCATTTGAGCCGTGTCATGAGAAAACCAACATTATGGGTTTGCGACCAGCATGGATCCAGACCAGCCTGCGCATCCGCGCAGACTGATCAGGATCCATGCTGTCCGCTTACATACTCTATAACAAGTAGAGAAACTGATACCAAACAGCATGGATCCTGAGACTGGTCTTGATCCATGCTGGTCGCAAACCCATTATGTTGGTTTTGTTATGGCGCGGCTCATTTGCAGAGTTGACAATAAATGAAACTTCAGCATTTGCTGCTGAAATATTGTATATCATGTTAAAAATAAAAATTGGAACACCCTAGTTTTTTTATCTGGATTAAATCAACGCCATGTTATACCTTTCCGGACACATGGCAGTATGAAGTGTGGTAAATAAGATAATTTTATACCCTCCTCGACAGGGCTCAACATAATCAGAAATAAATAAAGTACTAGTCCTTTACTTAGGAGAAAAACATAGCTGTACTGTGTCAAATTTTTAGATCTCTAGCTTTAAAATTAAGAAGTTTGCATGGAAAAATTCAAAAAGTGTCCGGTTGATGGTCCCCGACCAGTGCTGACTTCCTTTGTGATATATGACCTAAAAGATGAATTTTAAATATTGAATATTTTTACATATGAATAATTAATGGACAATGGGCATAAATATCCTAGATAATTATTATCAGGCAGAGCAGCAGAAGTATGGCAGCTAAAACTAACTCATCAACTATGGCAGGAAGTCAAAGTTCAGCTCAGGAAACTGAAAATCCTGGCATATTTACCTCAGCCAATGTTGCCACCTCTGCACGGTCTGTTACTCCACGCTCTGGAAATGATACTAGGTTTAATGAAATTCCTAGCAGCAATGCTGTTAGATTTCCAAATGAGAGTGAATTAGGAGCAAATGGTCAAACAGTGAGAAAAGTCAATGAAAAGACGTCAACTAATATAGCTTCAGCTGAAGAGGTGGGAGGGGCAGTGGGTGGTGTGGCCAATACTCTAAGTGGAGAAATGCAGCATGAGGCAACTGATATGGTTGATGGAGTACCTGGTCATAAAGATGACAACAAGGTATTATATAAGTGCTCATTTTTGAAGTATGTATCCTCATTTAAAAAATAAAATATATTTTAAGCTTTAAATATGCATAGTAGAGTAGACACTTTTTTCTATCTCTTTTCGTTTAATTTCTTCTGCTATGTTCCTTTCTATGTAATTTGATAATAAAAAAAATTCCTGCTTACACTTACTTCTTTACTTGATGTATTTGCTGATTTATTGTTACACATAGTTTTCAGAGGAAACTTAAACTCTTGCAGATCAAATGAATGATAATAAAAAGTTTTCAATAATTTAAGGTTTAAGTAACATAGTCTTTAGATTAACTATGGTATTTGCAGAAAATTTCATATTTAGGATTTAATATAATAACATCAAAATTTGTTCATTTAGAAGTGACATTTCAATCTAAATTGTTTTAAGTCTCATAATAATGCAATTTTTAAGTGCAACATCACATAAGGCTGTAGAACTTTTGACATTTCTGTGAATATAAACAAAATTATACAAGTGATGAGTTATCATATGTTTTGATGTTAATTCAATGCTTATAATACAAAAGAGCAACAACAACAAAAACAAACAATTAAAGCTGGATGTTAACAGAAAAGACAGTCTATTGAGATGTAATGTCATAAAGCAACACTCTCTCTTAATTGGAATGAAATAATTGAACATGATCAGTCCAATATAACTATAAACTAGCCTGGGGATAAAAATGCTGTTTCAAACACTAGTTCAAATTAATGATGGGGGGGGGGGGTGTTCAGGGGGGGTAGCACATAACAGCTTTTACTGTAAAACTAACACATCCAGTTCATACCAGAAATGCTAAAAATTCCAATTTTAAAATGCAAGATGTAAAGATTTATATGTATCTATTCAACTAACAAAATGATTTTAGTTTCTTCCATTTTTTGCTCCTATGGTGGTAAAGTATCTGCTTTTTTGTGTGTGCATGAATCATAGTGCTATAACAACCTACCTGTGGTAAGTACCTGATGTTAATTTATTACGAATTGTTCTTTGAGTAGAAAAACTCTTATTTCTAAATAAGGTATTGGATGGCTAATGCAATATCTCCTTTCTGAAGAGTATTCATTTTCAGTGACGAGACCGTGTTTTGATAGGGCATGGGTTAACTTTCATGTTGAAAAAATATTTAAACTTTGCTGAATTTAATGTTACGTACATAATCCTACTTTAATTTTGAATCTGTTCACAGATGATTTAAGAAAAAAATAAAATCTTAAGATTAAGCAATAGAATATTGTGTAAGCTGGTGTGACACTATAAATGTATATACCAGCTGTATTGGCAAGTTATTATTTCATTAAAGAAAATTTATACTAAATTTTATACTAATATAGGGCTAGGCTCTACATCATTTAAAGACAAATGTAAGGATTAAATTAAAGGAGAGGGTCCCCCTCTCTTGGAATTTTTTAAGACATGAAATTGATCTGAAGCATAAATTTTTACTGACAATTAACAAAATTGGTTTTCAGGAGGACAATCCAAAACCTAGTCAGTGGCAGAATGCAATACCTGATATAAAAGTTCATGATAAGGGTATGTGGCTTAATAACATATTTTAATTATTATTTCAATTGTAACAACATTTCTTTATGCATAAATTTATATAAAGTCATTAACGATTCCCTCAAATACATGAATGATAACTGTGTCTCTCAGTATGAATTGGGTTTAAACTTCCCTGATTGCTACATCACAAAATATCTGTTATTCCAAACACAGTGGCCAGACTGATTTCCCTATCTTAATTATTATAATATTATGCTTCAAGACTCTGCGAGCTACTCCCATATGATTTTTATTAATATCACTAATGATTTTTTTTTATAATTTCCGCAGGACATCCGAAAGATGGTACCATGCATGTGGTTGAAGTTGAGTACCAATGTAAAGAATGTTCAGATGATGGAAGGAAACCACACATAATGCTCAAGTAGAAAGGAAATACGGTGAAAGCATCTTTTAGACTATTGTAGATGAAACTCAGTGTGAGCCAAAGGTCTTTTAAGCTGATGTGGTGAAATCTTTCGATTGCTGTGTACTTTTCTATAAGATTATCTCATCTTTTAACCCTACCTTTCCTCTACACCACACCAGTTTTAAAGGCAATACGAGTCTACAATAGTCAAAAAGATGAGAACAGACTTTGAACTCTTTAGACTATTCTCTCCCTGTTCTAATTTCCAGAAACAAAGATTAAATATCTACAAACAAGACAACTATATACTGTGTGGGCACAAATATACATACATTCCAAAGCTAGCTATATGTCTATTTAATGATAAAGCTAGACCCTGTTTGAACAGTTATGGTTACATTAAAAAAATCATTGACATGAATTTATTGTTTAAAATAGTGTTTTTCGAAAGAATTTTTTATTAAATCAAAACTTATTGATTATTAATGAGCATATTAATCAATTTTCAGAGGTCTTTGGGAAATGGCTAAGATTATACATCTTTAAAATTAGGTGACTAGTCTCATTAACAAAATATGTCGTACGAATCAATATACAACTCTAAAATAACTAACCAATCAAATGCTAAAAGTTTAGATCAGTCTCCAAATATGCAAAATGTATAATCCGGGTCAAATTTGTTGCATGCAATTTTGGTTTCAGTTTTATTTACAATTTTCTATGTATTCCTGTATTTATATCATCCAGTGCAGCTATAACTGTCAGCTATTGAAAGATACAATTTAAACACCCTTATGTCAACCCGCATGATGTAAGGAAATAATATGGCTTCTGCGCTACGCTGAATGTTAAAGCTACTATCCCACATATTGTAGTTTGAGCAATTTTGAAATTAAATGCATATTTTTTAGAGACTGTAAACAAACATGTTGATGTTTTTAGACCTGATTTGTGTGGGAGAGTAGCTTTGATTCTGATGATGGACCATACTTTGTATATATGTAACTCTGTATATTAAAAAAAACATTATTGTATAATAAAGGCAAGTGATGATTACATCCTGCTTCGGAGGCTTACAATACATGTATAGATCCAGATCTACAGACTGCCTGTTAACTAGGCCAGCTTACATGCATGGCATGATCGCACATTCTGTCAAAATGATGAATGAAATCTATGAATGGAAACTTTCATAATAAACTTCTGAAAAGATTTTATGTTGATCTAATAAGAAGAATAATCATCAATACATATTTGATTCACTGGTTAAACAGTAAAATAAGCTACAAACAACCTAAGATAATAAAATATAGTTTTAATACATTAAAATGTTAATTGCTTACATAAGCAGTTTAATATCATCTTTTTAATAACCGATTTTATTAAATGCTTTAGGTTTACTAATATTCAAAACAATAAACATCTATCAAGAAATATTTAACATTCTTTCTTAAAATAGTAACAACAGTTGCAAGAAGTGTTCATAATTCTAGTTGAATTAAATAGCCATTAAATCTGTCATGGCTAACCTTTGGTTTAATTATATAGCCATTAAATCTGTCATGGCTAACCTTTGGTTTAATTAGATAGCCATTAAATCTGTCATGGTTAACCTTTGGTTGAATTAGATAGCCATTAAATGTGTCACGGTTAACCTTTGGTTGAATCATATAGCCATTAAATCTGTCATGGTTAACCTTTTGTTGAATCATATAGCCATTGACTCTGTCATGCCTAACCTTTGGTTGAATTATATATATAGCCATTGAATCTGTCATGCCTAACCTTTGGTTGAATTATATAGCCATTGAATCTGTCATGGTTAACCTTTGGTTTAATTAGATAGCCATTGAATCTGTCATGCCTAACCTTTGGTTGAATTATATATATAGCCATTGAATCTGTCATGTCTAACCTTTGGTTGAATTATATATATAGCCATTGAATCTGTCATGCCTAACCTTTGGTTGAATTATATATATAGCCATTGAATCTGTCATGGTTAACCTTTGGTTTAATTAGATAGCCATTGAATCTGTCATGTCTAACCTTTGGTTGAATTATATATATAGCCATTGAATCTGTCATGTCTAACCTTTGGTTTAATTAGATAGCCATTGAATCTGTCATGCCTAACCTTTGGTTGAATTATATATATAGCCATTGAATCTGTCATGGTTAACCTTTGGTTTAATTAGATAGCCATTGAATCTGTCATGTCTAACCTTTGGTTGAATTATATATATAGCCATTGAATCTGTCATGGTTAACCTTTGGTTTAATTAGATAGCCATTGAATCTGTCATGCCTAACCTTTGGTTGAATTATATATATAGCCATTGAATCTGTCATGCCTAACCTTTGGTTGAATTATATAGCCATTGAATCTGTCATGCCTAACCTTTGGTTTAATTAGATAGCCATTGAATCTGTCATGCCTAACCTTTGGTTGAATTATATAGCCATTAAATCTGTCATGGCTAACCTTTGGTTTAATTAGATAGCCATTAAATCTGTCATGTCTAACCTTTGGTTTAATTAGATAGCAATTAAATCTGTCATGGTTAACCTTTGGTTTAATTAGATAGCAATTAAATCTGTCATGGTTAACCTTTGGTTGAATTAAATAGCCATTAAATATGTCATGTCTAACCTTTGGTTTAATTAGATAGCAATTAAATCTGTCATGGTTAACCTTTGGTTTAATTAGATAGCAATTAAATCTGTCATGGTTAACCTTTGGTTGAATTAAATAGCCATTGAATCTGTCATGGTTAACCTTTGGTTTAATTAGATAGCAATTAAATCTGTCATGGTTAACCTTTGGTTTAATTAGATAGAAATTAAATCTGTCATGGTTAACCTTTGGTTGAATTAAATAGCCATTGAATCTGTCATGGTTAACCTTTGGTTGAATTAAATAGCCATTAAATATGACATGTTTAACCTTGGTTGAATTATATAGCCATTAAATATGTCATGGTTAACCTTTGGTTGAATAACATAGCCATTAAATCTGTCATGGTTAACATCTGGTTGAATTATATAGCCACTAAATCTGTCATGGTTAACCTTTGGTTGAATTAAATAGCCATTAAATCTGTCATGGTTAACCTTTGGTTGAATAACATAGCCATTAAATCTGTCATGGTTAACCTTTGGTTGAATTATATAGCCACTAAATCTGTCATGGTTAACATTTGGTTGAATTAGATAGCCATTCATCATGACAACATAAGTGCAAACTTAAGCATGTGTGATATGAGCTGCGTAGAAATGGAAATGATCTTATATTCAAGCCATGAAAACAACATTAAGTAAAGTTGTTTTAAAGGAGCCAGGAGCTAGATCTGATGCCAACAGTCTATAAACATGCAGTTTTTTGTAATCATATATACCACAGCAGATCAGCTGATTTAAAGTAATGATTACAATTATATCTCCATGTATTCATCACTTTGTGGATTTCATAAATTATCATTATCAACATATATTACATGTATCATCATAAAGGAATACAGGCATACAGGTGTTTGTGTGTCACTAACAAGCATGTGTAGCATTTTAGTATATACATTTTAAACTATAATTTGTTAAGTTGAATAATATTGCTTATTTCCTTTTTAGTACAGAGTTTAATTAGTTGGTAAGGAAATGAGAGTAACTCTTAATGTAAGATATTTCTTCTTCTTCTTGACAGACAGAGCATAATCATCTTGTTTTTCTTCTCAAATACATCTGACTTTCATTACAAATTAAACATTTACGGGCAGCCAATTAAAAAAAGTATAAAGGACTTAGTAAACTTAATTATTTCTATACAAGGGTAGTAACAAAACTCATGTAACTTACTGCAGGTATTTGTGCCTTCTTTCCTGGTTTAACATTTCCATATATGTCTGTATTCTTGAAGTAAAATGTTAGATCTATTGGAAGCAGGTTTACTACAGTGACAGGGGGCATAATCACTACTGTATGGCCAGGTAGGGGAGACAACCCTCTTTGTACTGATTCTTCTGGAAAATTTTCTCGCCTTACAGCAGCACAAAATCTACATTAAATAAATAAATCTGAAAATATTTCTAACATTGTTTAGATCTATGAATCCTTTTACTCAATTTATTTAACAATTTAGCATATAGTATTAACGAGTAATACAAATTACTTTCTACAGAAAAGGGGAGGTTTAAGTTAACAAATACTGTTTTCTTAATTAATTTTCTGAAAATTTGGTAAAATTTTACAAAGTTAAATGAATATAAATTTTTGCACACATAATCAGAATTGCTAACTATTTTAAGGAATAATTTTAACACTGCTTACATCAATGTTTTAAAGCAGAATAAACACATTGAACAGCAAAACAAGTTAAGGGTATTAGCACCCTAATCAATAAACCCCGCTTTGAAATACCAAATAGTCTAGAACTTATTGTAACTACATTGAAAAGGGGGGGCCAGGTTCAATCCACATAATGGTCAAATTTTTTTTTCTTTGTTTTTTTTCTTTAATAAAACGTTATTTATTTATCTCTGCATGTCCCATTTGGAAAGAAAAAAGTGTTTAATTTTGATTTTTTTAATTTATATAGGGTATTTATTGGCTAAATTATGCTAAAATTCTAGTAATAAATATGGTACCTGATATATTCAAAGTGCAATATAATCAAAAACTAAGACGGTAAAAGTATTTCATATTTTAACAAGATCAACTAAATATACTTTTTTAAAATTTAGGGAAACTTTGAAAACATGCCTCATTTGGATAAATTTTAAGAATTTTTTTAAATTAGGCTTCCTAAGTAGAAAAATGGTCAGACACGAAGGAAAAATGGTGGGGAAGGGTAACATTTTTATACAGATTTTCATAATTTTTATGTAGAAACCCACAAATTTTTTTATTTGGATTGTTAGCTGAATGGTACTATTGTTTCTTACCAAAAAGTAATGGGAAAACATTTTTTCATTAGAATGTTATTGCAGATTATTTAAAGGTTTCTACTTTCTAAAAAAGGGGCCTCATAACATCTGGCTCGAGTCAGAAAAGTGGCCATAACATGATTTCCGTACGGTAAACTTTGTTTAAATTTTGCATACAGGTGTACTTTAAGGTATACATCTGACTTATGATGTCAATTTTTTAGTTCCCGATAGTGCCCATTAGGGTCCTAATACCTTAATGGTAAATTTTCTATATCCCTGTTTCTCGTATTATCGTGGTTTCTCGTATTATCCTGGAATAGTTAAAACAGATGGAAGCGAAGCTCGAGACTTCCATTGATATCCGAATACTTCTCTATTTAAGAGAGCTGTTTCATCTCCGGCAAAAATAACGAAAGAAATGCGACAAAAACAGATAGAAAACAAAATAACTGTGAAAATTATCGTAAAATCCAGAGAAAAAAAAATTAAATTTATCAGTTTTTTTTCAAAAATCATCAATTTTCTAGTTTTTTCCATGTTGCAGAAACCTGTAGCGGGTCTCTGACACAAGGCGCTTCAAATGACAGTCACACTACTATATGTACAATACAGCTCAAAATATTTGTTCCACAAATAGATAATATACAAAACATATGAACTCCAATTAAAAACCAATAATGAAACATTGTTTAACCTTATCACCTTATTTTTGACAACAAAACAACAAAAACACATGCCGCTGCAATGGAAAACTGTAGTATTCATTGCTCAATGCTCATATAACTTATAAGTAAACATAAACTTCATACATTTTAGAGGGATTATGTAAACAACAACACTTAATTGAGTTCAAACTATTTTTAGAACAAACCAAATCATTTGGTACCAAAGAGGCGTCAATATGATCCTAAAAGTTTGATTATGGCCTACCAAACTGATAGTAAAACACAAATAATTACAGAGCTAAGTCATTTAATACTTAATTAGGAGCTGCACTAATGATTTGAACTGGTATGTAGAATAAAATCATCACATAGCGACCAGCCTTAACAACCAATCAAATTCCACGATAATACGAGAAAGCACCTACTTCACATAGAGAGTGAAGGTCAGTATATACAAGCAGAAATATATTTTGTTTTGCTTACGGTTATGATCTTTCTTCCTTTACATTGTCTTAAAAAGATATTTTTCTGGGTATCTACCTAAATAATACTGTACCAAAATGTTTTATTAAACTTATTCAACAAAGTTTAGTCCTTAGCCCCACAATAATACAAGAAAACAGGATACATCCTTCATAACAAAAGACCTATTAAATCTTATCTTCTACTTTTTCAGAGAATAACAGTTCTTTACCTAAAAACTGCATCTGTGTCAGGCATTTTACATTCTCTCAAAGTTGTTTTTACTTCTCCTGGTTTACCAATGTGCTGCCAGTTGATTGGTTCATTTGAATGTTCCACCGGCCAATCACTAGGCCTTATCCAGAGTCTGGATGACACAAATGGCATAGGAATTGACTTTTGTTGACAAGAATTTACAGTGATGTAATCATAGCGGCCTGAAAAATAAATGCATAACAGTGTAAACCCCCCTAAAATCTGAACTTATCAAAATAAGACATTTAAATCATTTTGTGAAACATATTTGTCACTGGTTATTCAATGTATTCCTTGTGTTACATAAGGCCATCACCCCATACCTACTGTCTATTTTAAATGTGCATTATGCCTCAGAAACAACTAACGTTTTTCTTTCTTTAGAAAAACTAGACAGGAGTTTTATGATATTTAAATAATGGTTTTAAAGCATATAACTTGCTTTACACTTGACGTGCTGAATTACAGAATATATATCTCATAGTATTGTATGCAGCCATAACAAAATGCCTATTATTTCAATCAGTTTCATTCCCCATGGTTCATACAGACTTCTCATATGTTAATTTAGGGCCTTTTTAGGGCTTTTTTTTTTACTAAATTTAGGGCTTAATTTTCATGACATAAACAAGTGTCTGATTTGTAGATCTTTGTTATTCATATAACAGTTAACTCCTTGAAAATGATCTCCAGTGACTTTCAACAAGTAATGCTACCTAGATACTTAACAATGGGCTGAAATTTAAATTATTGCCATGATGATGGGCTAATATAGATCATTTAATGTACTATTTATTTATTCGCCCAAAAGACAGAATTATATGTAATAAAAAATATATTTATTTCTGCGCTCAGTTGCCTTGTAAATCATTTAGATTTTGATTACGGTATCAACCGACCAAATAGTTTCCAAACTAAATTTAGGGCATTCAAAATAGTAATAAAGGGTCAGACAGAGCAAATTCAGCGGCTTTTCAGGGCCAGCCATGCAATTTAGGGCCTTTTCAAGACAACCATCAAAATTTAGGACTACGAACCCTGTTCCCAAGATAAACTTTTCAGATTTTGTCATTCCATTTTGCCAATTCATTTTACTTTATAAATCTAATACAAAGCTGTCATGTATTTTTTTTTTCAACTCCTTAAGATTTTTGGGTGCCCTTAATTTCGAATTTCCAACATACCTGGAATAATAGGGTTGTCCATCTTTAACTCTATAGGGGTGTCAAGTCGGTTAGACACCATGAGTGCTGACCTTAGAGTGATCACCTTCCTGGCACTGCCCTCTTGCTGGATATCAAACACAATCCTAGCCTGTTGCTGATCATTCTATAATAAATAGTTTATATTTTTATAGTCTTGCCATATATTGAATAATTTTACATGAATTGCCACTTTTCTTGAATGAACTAGAACTATCTTGTGATAATACTAACTTATGGATCCTAAGTTATATGATCTCACAACATCAAAGTTTTTTAATCTCTTCTGAAAACAGAGGACTATATCTTTGCAAATCTTACTCTATTACAAGCATTACTCTTCCAATAAACAAGCCTTTTATGTATAAATACATAAGCAGGTTTTAACAGAATTTATTTAGTTTGATTGTTTCAGAAGCTTATAGAAACACTCTGTAATTCATTTCTGGAACCAGACAGTGTACTATTGTCTGAATGGCTAATGGTCAGTTATCACCAGAACATGATTGAATATATATTTAAGATTTATTCTAACTACAAAAGCATATGTTTACATGTCAACAAATTCTATCAAACTGGTATCAAAGAGACAAGTCTACACTGAGTTAAACACACATACCACTTTAATGATGGAAGGTTTGCTAACATTTGGTAGGGTATTTCTGAAGTAGATGCCAACTTTGTCCACTGACACTGGACGTAATCCCTGCCATCCATCTACTTTCACAATCAGTTGATTCACAACCAATGAGCTGGATTTCTGTTTTCAACAAAAACCACGGGAATACATAAATCTTCACAACAGAAGAGTTTAATGCATTATAAAACAATTAAAAATAGAATAAAATAAAATAAAATGGAAAACTTATTGTCCTTTTAACACTCAAAATTCAAAATGCTGTCGCACTGGCTTGCAAACAGTTAATGATAAGAATTAGATCTAAGAAGCAAAAATCAAACTATTATCTTTCTTTGTAAGATTCTTTTAAACTATAACTGTCTCTGAATATTTTTAAACTATAACTGTCTCTGAATATAAGAAAGTAATAACTTTCACAAACTGTAAATTCAAAAACCTGTTTCTGTACTTATTAGCCAATGACTTTTGAATTATAATTAATTAGTCCTTAAATAAGTCTTGTATTGTCTATAACTATATTCATAGCATTTTAAGGAAAAAAGCATACTATTTCAGCAGCCAATAGTATGAAAACAACTGTACATTTAATGCATGGCTTTTTACTGATGTTTTTAAAGACTTGTGTACATTGGTGTTTCAAAATTTAGAGTAACCTACCTTGTGTCTTATCTTATCTTTCCTCTGGAAGCTGAAAGTTTTTTCCTGATTCGGAGGCACATATATCATTTCAGATTCATTAAATCTTTGCTCTGAGTATTTCAGGGTGTCTGCCCCGACCAGGGACGGGTTAACAGTGACTGGTGCAAACCAGACTGGAGATCCAGTATGGTTACGTACAGCATATGGTGTAAACAGCTGACGTCTTCTAGCTCCACTAGGTGAGTATAGTTCCTTCTGAGATCTGTGCAAAGATAAACAGCCAAAATTGAAATGTTTGTCATTTTAAATCATTTAATTTATAATTTTTAAGAACCATACTAATCAGGTAAGGTTAGAAATCAAATATTTAAATAATTTTCCTCATATGCGGACACTCAAAAGCATATAAAGTTATATAAACTATTACATTGTATATCAAAATTAAAAAGTACAGAAATAAGTATAAACATAAGAAACAATTTTAGCAAGACTTATAGAGAAAAAATTATGCACTATTAGAACCTCATTACTACATTTAATGTTAAGACATACCCATCTTTATGTTTGTAGTAATCTTCTGTCCATTTATCCTTGGTCATATTGTATAGTTCTAACAATGTACTAGTTGCATTGATGTTCAATACATCAGGAGCTGAAACACAAAAATTATACAACATTTATACCTTATTTTCATGTTACAGGACCCATTTTGTAAACTTAAATATGAAATATACAAGTACCTACATATACTGAAGATAAAGGGTGTACAATAAGCATTTTCAAAATTAACGAACATGACATGAAAACTGTGGACTGTTATCAAAATAAGTCCAATTTAGTTATGTTTATAAATGATAAATTATAAACTACAGTAAAGTTTTACCTGAAATTTCTATGGCTAGCTTTTCCTCTGCTTGTTTATAGTTCTTCCATTGGGCATGACACCTAGAATAAAATAACAAAATCTAGTGTTCATTTTCATTAATAAGGCACTGGCTATTATTCAATTCACCTTAGCAAGTTTAAGTTGCATTCTAAATCATGAATATTGTTAAAGTTGAATGGCCACTTTGTAGCTTTTTATGGTGAAGAAAACCAACAAATACCCTGTTCAGCCTTACTTCAGGCACAGACAGGCTCCTGTGTAGAACATTCCATACATTGCACACAGCTGCATAGTCAATAAGAATACATTTGAGCCATGTCACGACAAAACCAACATAATGGGTTTGCGACCAGCATGGATCCAGACCAGCCTGCGAATGCGCAGGCTGGTCCGGATCCATGCTGGTCGCAAACACACTATGTTGGTTTTGTCATGACGCGGCTCATTTTTACCCTTACCATGCTAGAACCGAAAGTGATTAGCCTGTGCCACCAAAACAGCCAGGCTAACCTGCACTGCACATCCATGCAGACTCACCAGACTCTACATGGAGGTGGACAAACTTTAAATTATCATCTTAATATCACAAAATTAATAATAGACGGTTCAAAACATGGAAATCCTATAAAAAAAATTTAGCAGGTTAGTGGAATTTAAATAATGAAATGTATAATAGCAAATAGAAAAAAATATTCTATCTACCTCCATTGTTCAATGAGTGGTTCCCATCCTGACAGTGTCCTGTTATAGTAATCCCCTGCTATCTGGAACCCGGCTTTACCTTCCCTACCAGGTTCATATTTCAGATCCATACCTATACAATTATAGTTTTATTAGTTATAAATCCTTAAAATGACTTGTCCATACAATCTATTATTAAATTCTGGAGCTTATAGTTAGAATTAATTATGAATATTAAATTTAATATTTTAAATATGGTATCTTTCATATATTAATATATCAAAGATTAGGTAAACAAATCATGCTTAGTTTGTGACAATGAGCAGTAGTGTTGCCATTTCTTTCTATGAGAAATTGATACGATTTTTTATGCAAACTAATATTTTTGTTTGCTTAAGAAGCTTAAGTGCTTTACAGTAATTGTCCTGTCACTTTACAGTAAATTGCCTCTGAATCATTTCATCTGTTTTGATATCTTAATCTCTTTCGGTATTAAGGAGGCTGCCATCTGCTGTCTCTATTGTTTGTCTGGCAGGACTCTCATATATAAGAGCTATAAACAGAGGAAAGGGTGGGAGTTGGACTGGAAGTTTTGACAAAGAATGGAGATTGAGGCTGGGTATTTGGTATAATAGATTAGAACAACATGTGTAAATGAATATGAATATGTGTGGAATTAAAATTATAGTAAAAATCTTTGTCTTTTTTGTGTTATTTTATTAAAACAACTACAAATGAAATGAGGAACTTGTCTTGATATGATATTTGCAACAATGTCTAGCCTTTGATTGCTACCGTCAAAGGTGTGGTTTTGTTACAATAGTATTTGTATAGTGGGAGCATGAAGCTATGTAATTTCAATCTGAGAGTACCAACATCTACATACTAAATATAGGTCTACAAAAACATTTTTGTGGATAGGATAGGACTCACCAAAGAAGTTGAGCTGTATTAGAGGAACATCTGCATCTAAACAATCATCTATAAGGCATAGGCAGAATGTTGTCATATTTACCTGTATAAACACATAGATATATATATTTGCATGTTTGTACTAATTAGTACTATATTTCAACAACATAACTACCAAAAAAAAGTTGTCACAAAAACCAATTTATAAAAAGTTCATTGAGGTAGTGTTACTATGTATCCGTTGAGTGAACAAACTTACTTATAACATTGCTTTTGCAAATGTTGAACTACACAAATTTCAGACATCTTTTATAGAGAAAATAAATATTGAAAAAATAAATGTGTTATTATGTGACTCAATACCCTGAATTTCCAAATTTAAATGATATATTATTCATAAAACGTGAAATAGAATACATTATGCTATTAATGGTCAAATGGACATTAAATATCATATTTCTGAAACCATTATGTTGAATCATTCAAAATTCCAAATAAACTTTCCTATACCTTAGCAGATGTTATTTTAGAATCAACATAAAAAGTGAAATAGAATATTTTCCGTTTTAAATGACCAAAACAATAGCATCATATTTGTATAATGAAAACTCTACATAAACTTTCCTATACCTCAACAGCTGTTATTTTAGGATCATCTTTCTTTGGTTTAACCACTTTAGCATTATCTGTCAACCATACAGCAGCTTCCTCCAGATTGTCCTTGTTTAACTTCAAAGATTTCAAACAATCCTCTCGACTGAAGTTCATATCCATTAACTTTGTCATCTGTGCTTCTGTTGTGTAAGAAAACATTTTTTAATATTTTTATATGTTGATCATTTTGACACAAAAATTTTGTAAATGCTCAGATGGTGACACTGAGCAAAAGTATTTTTTGTTTTGCTTTTATTTTTCATTCAGAACTTAACAATTACATCAAGCATGTTATTCTTTATTTACGTTCTGTTCGTTTGGTTTAGGTGCCAGTTTACATCAATTTCACTAATGTACCTTTAAGTATATACATGTATCTTCAAAATGCTCCTGGCATCTGTCACAAGTGAAGTGTAAAAACTAACCTTTTTCTTCAAGTAAATAAGTGCTATCCACTTGACATGAATTATAACTTATGAAACACTAACATATGTACAGGAATAGACATAATTATTGTCAGCAAACATACTGTCAAGGAAATACTTGTAAGATCATGTACTAAATATTTGCAAAATTAACCATGCTCACCAAGGAGCTACCATCACAAGCCAATTACTTGTGTACTTATTATATTCTGTCATCATCTTATTATGTAATTCTTATCTGACAACTGTTTAATTGTTATCTTTTTTCTTTCTCTTAATTTCTCTCAAAAGACCAATTAAAAGCATAAATGAGCATTAAATAATTCAAATTTTACAGAAGAACAACAACTGACCTGTGAACTGTGACACTGGTGACTCAGCTGTTTTATTAGCTTGTAATGCTTGTTTAGGTAGAGAATCCATTATAGCCAGAAACATCTTCATATCCTGGTATGACAATCTTACATTCATCGTGTTACAGTTTATCTGAAATAACGTCATACAAGAATGTATTCAATTAATGTGTGTCTGGAAAACAATATATTCATTTTACAGATGTCAACATGTGTCAATGAATCAATTATCAATAGTAAACAATCATCATTGATCTACAAGGGCCATAACCCAGTTTCTGAGATTCACCACCACTTGATAGTAGTTTGTTTGTTTGTTTTCTTTTTTTTCTTGCTGTAGCCTTTTAATCTAATACCATACATTATTTTATTTACTAACAAAACAAAAATATCCCTTCAGGATAAATTCTTCTAAAGTTATCCTGCAGAAATCAGTTATTTTACAAAAAAATGTTTTTAAAAAAGGGCATAACTCTTTCAATAATATCTGAATTTCAGCAAAATTCAAACTTAATTAACCTGTGTTTTGGTATAACATAATTACAGGCAAAATGTAAACAAAATCACTGAAAACCTTTCAAAGCTATCCTCTGGAAACAAATAATTATATGGAAAATTTCCTTACAAAGGGGCATAACTTCTATCTATAACAAGTTGATTGCTGTGAAAATCAAATTTAACCTGTGTTGTGATGTAACATGACTTACATACCAAAGTATACCAGTTTTTTCTGGTATATAAAAAGATAATGAAAATCTTTTGTCTATAATTATTATAACAGTCATATAAAACCCTAAATAAGAAAAATATATTGTTTTGTTTAGTTTAATTCAATACATACGTCTAGAAGCATTTGTTTGAGATCAAATTCTGCCGCATCAACCAGTCCGGCTGTAAATGTGTTAGGGTTTAACAATAGGTAGAGGGTTTTGGAATCAGCTCTATAGTGACCGACATTGGATCTACAATTGACAGGGCTGTTTCTTCCTCCGCTTGTAGAGAGCACGAGAAAATCTCCAAACTTTGAAGAGTACATGAGAGTAACTTGTCCTGAGCTTTAGGTCTGTACGATAATACTGATGTACACTGAAAATTAAGATGAAACAAAATTGATTTCTTATGTACATTATGAGGTAACAAACAACAAGAAAAATTAACAAAATATTCATAAATTAAATTACTAGTAAACAGCAAACATTCTGATTTGATTTAAAAGGGTTTAATAACAAAAGAGAAGAACCTCTTAAAGTTAAGAGCCTTTAAATAAGAGCCTGTGTTAAAACAGCCTTTGATAAAAACTGAAGGCATATTTAAAAAAATTAATATACCTCTTGTTATATTCCTAAAGCTAAAGAAAAATTTCAGTTAAACAAAACCAAGTACATGATGTAAAATTACACAATGAAACCCAAATAACTTATAACCAGAATACCCATACCTTTCAGGATGACAGCATTGGTATCAGCAGAGGCCAGATTCTCTACAACAACAAACTCTGTTATCCCTTACAGTTTTCAACTTCAACTCAAATGGAACATCAGTCTGAGAGAAAATGAAATTATTAAGTCTCTTTGATTGTTATTTTTCAGCAATTCTAAGTATCAATCATATCTTGGATACAATCTTAAAGATATCTTTTCTTTAGTATCTTTTACATTTACAACCTTTCCTTAAGGAAAATATATAATTCGCTTGTGTTTTTTTTTATTGTTTTTTTATCCATGCCATTTTTTTATCAAAGTTAATTGAACTTTAGAACCTC